CCTAGATCGTGCCACCTTGACTCAGGTATAGGCTAGTTTAACTGAAGAATGAATTTATCTCCACTCACTTTCCTCGAGATCGGGTCAGTGGAGAAGTGCTTTGGAAATACTCTAGGATCCAGGTAGACGTCCTTGATCCTCTGATTGCTACCTGAAAAAGGGGATGAACACTCCGAACAAGGGTGCCAGAATTAGCACTCCGACGAACAAGTTAGTATTCTCTCAAGTTTTCTTTTATCTTAAGTTATTTCATCTATTCTCACATACCTCTCTTTGGTTGGCGTTCCTCTTTTTATATTATTTTCTGGGCCTAAGGGTCGGGCCCACTCTTAATCTCTCACATGGTTGCTTGCTCGGCCTTCTGGTTGTGTGTCGGTCCCTATTCGGCTCCTTACATGGCCGATTTGTATATTCGGCTTCAAGAGCCCCTGGATAGAGCCAAATTGTCTTCAAATTTCTTGGATTTCCTTAATTAATTTTGTTCGGCCCTTACAATTTCCCCCCAAATATTCGACTAACTCCAATTAGTAGGCATGTTTGGTTTTATGTATGAAAAGTCAAAAATAAGGAGTTTACACTCATTCCAATAGCGAAGCATCAGAATGACCACGGTTTAGAAATCATTACAATTTCCCACCCCTTCGTATGCATTGTTCATTTAATGCGATATGAAACCGCGTTATCCCTTCGAATATTTTTTGAATATACAAGTCTCTTTGGTTGCCCTTCAGTATCTCTCTTTCACTTTACGACCTTTGCAAGTTCCATCTACTTCCTGCTATCCTTCTCTCTCTACCCTGTAAGTTCTTCTCTTCTTTACATTTCGTCCTCATTCTAACTCCCATTTTCTTGTTTGTTTTTAGTTTAGTGTATTTTCTATTCTGATTCGGATGGCGAAACATTTAAAAGCTCTCCTTTCTGCAGACCGTGTTTCTGTTTTTTGATGCCATTTTTCCATTCCAGATGACGTCCATCTGTCACTTGTGGCATATAGCGTAGTTGACATAGAGAGGACTGATGCGAGTACAATTATCTTTCCCCTCCTGTCAATCGCTGAGGGCGGAGTTCGTTTTCTCCTTCATCCATTTTTGAGGGCCGTCCTTCGCTACTGGGGTCTACTCCCTTCATAACCAAACATAAACTTTTACCGAATCATAATGGGAATAGTAGAATTAAATCGCCGACTTGGGATTAATCTAGGAATCCCTGCTATTTGGCATTGTTATGCCTTGGAAAAATCTTCTGGTCGACAGGGACGCTACTTTCTTAGGGCCAAGGACATCGATCACCACTTGGTGACTATGCTTGCCAGTTCTGGTAAGCGTGTTGACGACGTCATGGTCGTTGTCCGAGGCAACTGTGAATTCGGTGAAGACGAAGATCGCCTAGATCCTGTGCCTAAACAAAAAGGCAAACCAGGTGGCCGTACAGTTCCATTTCTTTACGCATTTCTTGTATGTTTATTCGGTTTAGATTCCATGTACTAATCGTTTCACTTGTGCAGGTAACGATTTGAAGAAAGTACTTGTTTCGACCGACGACGCTGTGCTTCAGCAAGTCAAAACCGCACTACAATTCTTTGGCCATCCAAACCTCCAAAAACAAGGGCGGGCCACCCACATACTATTACGATATGAACCAACATATGCTTCTTTTTTGGTTGCGGATCACATTCCGATTTCGAGGGGCGAATAGCAGCTTATGGCACTCATTTTCCCAAACTACAAGAGCCTTAGGGATATTGGTCTTGAAGGTTCGGATTTGGAGCCAGGTGGTGGAGTCGGCGATCAGGTTGTTGAACAACCAAACCAGGCCAACTTGGAGGAAGTCAATGCGGCTCTTAATTTGGCTTTTGAAGAAATCGACATCAACCTCCCATCCACTTTAAGCTGAGTTGACACATCGTTAGAAGACGATATTTTCACCAATTTAGGAGACCTTCCTGGCACAGATCTTGAAAACATGGCCGGGGAATCGCTTGTACAAATGGCTAGAAGAAAAAATATTGAGAAAATGACAGCTCGAACAAGAGCTGAAGCCACTAGATCTGAGCCCCCACCACCTGCTCCTGTTGAGGTTGAATCTTCACCTGCTCCTGTTGAGGCTGAATCTTCTCCATCTGCTCCTGTTAAGGAAATGGAGCAAGTTGTTATGGCCGAGTCGATTATTAAACAATCAGACGATCTGGTGGCCAAATAGAAGGGGGAGAAATGTCTTACCGATTTTGAGGCTGGCTCTTTTGAAGACCTAATTGATAAACGGCCACGCATAGAAGAGTCGCAGAATTTGAAGGCGTCGTTTATCATCCAACCTAGAATAAAGAACGTGCCGGTTTCGACTGATGCGTCGGCTTTGAAGGACCCCGCCCTGGCCCTAAATGTGGCCTCATCGATTTTTTTGCCAATGGATAGGACCGTGTTTCGTGCAGAACCGGACGTGATGTCGAAAGCACTAGCTACTCAATCGGCAATATTGGTACGTAATTGACACATTTTATTTCGCTTCTTTTTATGCCGATTAACTTACATTTGTTTTGTTTTAGGCGACGGGCAGAATCGCAGAAATCGGCCGCCGTCACTACGACGCCGTCGAGCAAATCGACTCACTTAAAGCCGAGATCGAAACCAAAAAGGACAAGGCTAAAGAGGCGTTGGCTGGATTGGTGGTGGCATCTCTTAAGGCTGAATTTGAAGCGAGGAAAGCAGAGGAAGAGCGAACGAGGGCCAATGCTAAGGAAGAGAAGGTTAAACACGCTAATCTTCTCAGGATAGCCGCCGAATATAGGGCGAACGTGAGTGACGAAGCACTCAAGTTGGCCAAGGAGGCAATTGCGAAGCTGGAGGCCGATTCGGAAGAATCAAAGAAGGCGAAAGAAATTGCCGACTCCGAGGTTTCCAAAGCATTCAATACCGGCGAGAACGCGGCCTTGGAAAAATATGTGGAGGAAGTACTCAAATTTGAAAATCAAGGATTCAAACACAGCTGGCTTAAAGCTCTGGCGGCCGCTAATATGGTATTGAAGCAGCCAATTCCATACAAGCAGCTAGAAGTTGAGCCGTTAGAGTTTGACCCTGAAGAATAAGTAATGTTAATGTAATTTTGCTCTTTGCTTGGTATTTTCTTGTATGTAGTTTTTTGTAGATTTTTTCTTATTTTGTTTAAAAGTCATTTGCAGAGCAGTTTTCATGTGTAAAATGACGATTGTTTGTACTCAATTTATTAATGAAAATCGCCTTTTTTTTGCTTATTTTGTTTAGAAGTCATTTGTAGAGCAGTTTTCATGTGTAAAATGACGATTGTTTGTACTCAATTTATTAATGAAATCGCCTTTTTGTCTCTTTTCTGTATGTGCTAATTAACAACTAAGTAGGACAGTGCAATGCCATTCGACAATAAATAATTTAAATTAATGGCCAAAATAATGCAGGACAATGAATCACGATTCGATTGTAATATAGTATGCCGAATTACATATACGACCCGGTAATAATCTCGTATGCCGATTACAATCGTACATTTGCCCTAGTTGGACAAGTCAAAGCCGAATGACATATATCACTTGTGTAACCTTCTACTGAATAAAATATCGGCTCAAAGCCAAACTCGTCTAGCCAAATAGGGTAATGTATTGTCATTCAGCTATAACATAAGATGCCGAATATAATGATGTATTTGCCCTTGCCCCATTTGGGCATGTCATTCCAAAAGCCGAATAAAACATATGGCGTGTGCCAATTTGGACGTCGTTCCAAAGCCGGATAACATATATCACTTGCAACGTGTAACCTTATCTGCTGAATAAAATATTCGACTCAAAGCTAAACTCGTCTGGCCAAATGGGGTAATGTGTTGTGGTGTATTTGCCCTTGCCCTATTTGGGCATGTCGTTCCAAAAGCTGAGTAAAACATATGGCTTGTGCCAATTTGGACATGTTTCAAAGCCGGATAACGTATATCACTTGCAACGTGTAACCTCATCTGTTGAATAAAATATTTGGCTCAAAGCTAAACTCGTCTGGCTAAATGGGTAATGTATTGTGGTGTATTTGCCCTTGCCCTTGCCCCATTTGGGCATGTCATTCCAAAAGCCGAATAAAACATATGGCTTGTACCAATTTGGACATGTTTCAAACCCTACTACAGACGTAGGGTTAACTGTGGGGCGCATAGGAAATGATGCATCCGTAATTAATGAACGAGGTATCTAGTATTTAAGAAGTCCTAGGCATTATGGAACAAATCTGGCACACACGACGAAAAAAGGCAATCGATAATCGATAATTTGAGAAAGAGCAAAAACTTGAGTTGGGCCATAGATGTCTCAGAGACTGTTCTTCAATAGTAAAGGAGAAGGAAGAAGTTTGGCTGAACTGGATACTGAAATGCATCGCATTTCTAGAGGTGAAGCTTAAAGAACGGGGGACGTGACAAAGGAGGGGAGAGAGAGACGTCGATCACCCAGACGTGGGAGCAGGTCCCCCAGAAGAGGTGATGCAGTAATGTCACCCAGGGATGGGGTGCAGCAATGAGGAGGATCAAAGAGTCATACTGTTGGTTATAGCGCTGCCCGGAGTGAGCCGAGCAGACCTCCGCGCCTGTTGAGCTTTTCGGTCTTTATTGGGAACAAGCCAATGACCGAAGCGGACTCAATAGTCCATGACCCCAACGTGGCAGTGGAGTTCGCACGGCAAATATTTCCGCCAGAGGTGTAACAGTCGCTCGTCGACCGTGGTGATTACGAAATTTTCAAGGAAGGTATGCATGGGTCAATCCAAGGACTTTACAGCGCGTATGAAATCGGTATGCGCCTGCGCGAGGCGAAAAGACAGCTCAAGCAATAAGAGGGACGCATTCGAGATTTGGAGCGTCGTACGAAAAAAGTCGAGAATGAACTAAGAAAGGCTAAGGCAGCAGAGACGCAATTGGCATGTGCCGCTAACCCAGTTGTCACGGACAGAGTCAACTAGCGCCTGCTGGATCATGCTATGGTTGATAGAGAGATGGCTAACATGTTTGCCAAAGAGGCTATAAGGACTCGGGCTTATGAAAAAGGCTTTTTTGACGGTCGAAAAATCGACATTGAAAATACTAAGGAAAAATTGGCAGAAGACGACTGTCATAAGGTATGCATGGGCCTTACGAGCTGCTGACATAGATTCAGTGTCACCACTATTTCAGAATTACAAGTTTCCTTTCAAAGCTTACGACGTTGAAAAAATCAACAACGAAGGGGACGCCGAGCCGGAGAAGACTTAGATATTAAGAAACACATTATTTGTATTTTTAAATTTGTCCAACACTATGCATTTGTACCTCTTTAGTGAAATAAATAAATATTTGTTACATTGCGTTATTTAATATTATTATTAATTCGTATGATAATTGTGTATTTACAGGCCCTATGCGGTTGTGTTGCTAAATACTCGGCGTTCATGGCCATGTAGTAAGGGCGTTCCAAATTCGGAGGCTTATTCGGCCCAAACGTGACATCCTCGAAGGGCGCTCCGAATTTGGAGTCTTTGAGTTGGCCAATAGTGTCATTCAGGAAGGGGGCTCCGAATTCGGAGGCTTTGTGTTGGCCAATTGCGTTATTCACGAAGGGCGCTCTGAATTCGAAGGCTTATTCGGCCTAACCGTGTGATTCATGAAGGGTGCTTCAAATTCGAAGGCTTTGTATTGGCCAATCGTGTCATTCACGAAGGGCGTTCCGAATTCAAAGACTTATTCGACCCAAACGTGATATCCACGAAAAGCACTCCGAATTCGGAGGCTTTGTGTTAGCTAATCGTGTTATTCACGAAAGGGCGTTCCGAATTTGGAGGCTTATTTGGCCCAAACATGATATCCACGAAGGGCGCTTCGAATTTAGAGGCTTTGTGTTGGCCAATCGTGTCATTCACGAAGGGTGTTCCGAATTCAGAGGCATATTCGGCCTAATTGTGTCATTCACGAAGGGCGCTTCAAATTCGGAGGCTTTGTGTTAGCCAATCATGTCATTCACGAAGGGCGCTCCGAATTCGGAGGCTTATTTGGCCCAATCGTGTCATTCACGAAGGGCGCTCCGAATTCGAAGGCTTATTCAGCCCAAACGTGATATCCACGAAGAGCGCTCCAAATCCGGAGGCTTATTCGGCCTAATCGTGCCATTCACGAAGGGCGCTATGAATTTGGAGGCTTTGTGTTGGCCAATCGTATCATTCACGAAGGGCGCTCCGAATTCGGAGGCTTTTTCATCATTCTACCATTATTAACAAGAGATTGACAAAAAAAGGGAAATGCATTACGAAATTTGTAGACAAGTACATATTAGCATATCCACAAAAATTATAAACAAACTAGCACGTCGTACAGGTTGGCTTAATGATAAAATTTACACAAGTGTGTGGAATTCCAGGGTCGTGGTAAACTTCTGTCAGCCATGTCCGAAAGCTGGTACACCCCTGTTTTGGCAATTGAGTCAATCTGATAAGGGCCGCCCCAATTGGCGCCTAATTTTTCGTTTGCCGGATTCTTGGTAGCAGGAAGCACTTTCTTGAGGACTAGTTCTCCAGGTGTATAATGTCGTAGTTGTACTCGCTAGTTATACGACTTGGCAAGCTGTTACTGATATCGCGCCATGCACACAAGAGCACAATCTCGACGTTCCTCAATCAGAGTCAGATCTAGGGCCAACATCATATCATTACGGCCTATGTCAAAAACCTTGGATTTCAATGTAGGTAGGCTGATCTCAAAAGGGATAATTGCCTGTGTTCCAAAGCATAGAGCTAACGGCGTTTCCTCGGTAGATCGTCTTGGAGTAGTGCGATGAGCCTACAACACACTGGGCAATTCTTTGACCCACCTGCCTTTGGCCTTTTCCAGCCGTTTATTGATGCCATCCAGGATCACTTTATTGGAAGCCTCCGTTTGACCGTTGCTTTGTGGGTATGTCGGCGAGGAAAAGTAGGGCCATATACCATATGTGTTGCATAATTCCCAATAGACGCCACAATCAAATTGGGTGTCGTTGTCTGAGATAAGTGCTCTTGGTATGCCGAATCTTGTTATGATGTTTTTCCATACAAAACATTTAATATCAACATCTCGAATGTGTGTTAGTGCCTCTACTTCGACCCATTTTGTGAAATAATCTATCGTGACGATCAGGAATCACTTGTTCCTGGAGCCTGTGGTAATGGTCCGACGATATCAAGTCCCTATTGAGCAAACGACCAAGGACTAGTAATGGAGTTTAGTTCTTCGGCAGGCAGATGAGTTAAAGGGGAAAACTTTTGACATTGTTCGCACTTCTTTACGTGGTTTTCGGCATCTGATCGCATGGTCGGCCAATAGTACCCCTATGTTCCCGCTCGGTGGGCCAATGAGCGTCCTCTAGAGTGGGTGCCATAACTACCCTCATGTATTTTGGCCAGGAGTTCCTCAACTTTATCTGGGTGAACGCATTCTAAGTACAGCCCAGAGAAAGATTTTTTGTAACGCTTTCCCTAAGGATCTAGATAGTATCGAAGGGCTTTATTTCGCAGCTTGTGGGCTTTTTTCTTATCCATTGGGAGCTATTCTAATGAAAGGAATGCAGCGATAGGGTCCATCCAACTAGGTCGTGGTTCAATGACGTTAACCTGAATTGGTTCAAAAGAGGTGATGCTCGGCTCTGGAATGAACCCTACTTCAATTGTTCGCTTGATTTCTGAGTTAATGGCGGAGGCTAGGCAAGCAATGACATCTGCATGTGTGTTTTAATCCCGGGTTATCTGATTCAATTCATGGTGGTCGAATTTCGTGAGCAAGGAATTTGTCGTTTTCATGTAGGGTACCATGTGGTCATTTTCACTGCATATTTCTCTTTCAGCTGGTTGATGACTAATTTCGAGTCACAGAAGAGAAGCAACCGTCGTGCACCAAGGTGAAGTGCGTTACGAAGGCCGGTTAGCAATGCTTCGTATTCGGCCTTATTATTTGATGCATCAAAGCCCAATTTGACCGCCTGCTCGATTATTGTCCCTTCGGGGATCATGATTACTACTCTTGTCCGCTGCCACGTTGATTGGATGATCCATCACAGTATAGTTGCCAAATGTCTCCGACATATATTCGCTATTCGGATTTAGGTTGCATCTGATTAGACTTAAGGTCGGTATGGCATCCTGTGAACTCGGCTACAAAGTCGTCGAGCACTTGGCCTTTGATGGCGGTTCTAAGCAAAAATTGGATATCACATTGACCGAGTTCCAAAGTCCACTTCGAGACCCGCCCTAATACTTCTGCACTGCATAGTGTTGTTCGGAGAGGATAGTCCGTTAATACCCCTATGGTATGAACTTGAAAATAATGCATCAATTTTCTTGTAGCTACCACGAGAGCAAGGATGAGCTTTTCTAGTGGTAGATATTGCGTTTCGGCGTCGACCATGGCCTTGCTTACATAATAAATTGGTCGCTGTTCCCTGAGTTCTTCTTTTAGTAGCACGGCGCTGACCGCTTGGTCAAATACTGCCAGATACAAGATGAGCGGATCGCCTACTGATAGAGTTGCCAAGAGTGGTACTGATTGAAGATAAGCTTTCAAGCCGTTTAGTGTAGCCTAGCAGTCGGCAGTCCATTCAAATGCTTTTCCTTTCCGAAGTGTATGAAAGAATTGCCTGTAGCGATCTGAAGAACGGCTGATAAGCCTATTTAGGGCGGCGACCATCCTCATTAACTTATGAACTTCTTTGACTGATCTAGGGGAGCCGAGTTCTAGAGTTGTTGTGATCTGCTTCGGATTGGCCTTTATTCTGCGATGGTTGACAATGTAGCCAAGAAATTTGTCGGATTCGATGCCGAATGCGCATTTCAAGGCGTTCAGTTTCATCTTGTACTTTCAGAGAATGCTGAAGGTCTCTAATAAATCGGCTAGATGGAAGTGCTTTTCCTTGGACTTCACCACCATGTCATCGATGTACACTTCCATGGTGCAGCTGAGTTGTTCCTTGAACATAGTGGTAACCAGTCTCTGGTAAGTTGCCCCCGTATTCTTTAGTCCGAAGAGCATAACCTTGTAGCAATAGGTTCCCATTGGGATAAGGAATGCGGTCTTTTCTTGATCTTTTGGGTACATGGCAATTTGGTGATAACCCCTATAGGCATCCAAGAATGTGCCGTTGCGTCCATAAGTTGGTCGATTTTAGGGAGAGGAAAACAATCCTTCGGACAGGCCTTGTTCAAATTCGTGAAATCGACGCAAACGCGCCAAGATCTATTTTTCTTCTTTACAACCAAGGTATTGGACAGCCATGTGGGATAGGTGACTTCACGAATTGCCCTGGCATCAAGTAATCTGTCAACTTTATCAACAACGGCCGATGCATGCTCCGCGGTCGATCGCCAACTTTTCTGAACAACTGGTTTGACTTTTGGATCAACATTTAAATGATGCTGGGCCACGACTGGATCCACCTCCGACATCTCGTACGGTGTCCATGCAAACACATCAAGGTTGCCGAGTAAGAAAGATACCAGCTTGCGTCTATCAACTTCGCTTAAGGAGGTGTCGATCATGAAGAATTTTTCATGACTCCCATTGATTTCGATCCAATCAAGGTCTTTAGTGGCCTTTTCGCTGGGGATTTTTCCAATATTTTCAAGGCTCTCTCGATCCGATACTTCAATCGAGTTTACTTCCAGTTCTTTTGGCCCCTTTGTAGCAGCAATAAGATAACATGCATATGTCAATTTCTAAGAATCCCGAATTTGCTCGATGCCATACTCAGTTAGAAAACGAAGCAGTTGATAGTAAGTGTTCGGCATAGCCAGCATGGTATGCAACCGAGTTCTCCCCATGATAAGATTATACGGTGACGGGAGTTTGATGACCAGAAATTCTACATCTACCAATCTGGTACCTGCCCGTGCTGGTAGTGTGATCTTATCCAATCGATACTCAGGGTTGGCGTTGAAGCCGAATAATGGGTAATCGGCCAACAACAAATCCAAATCTGTGAAGCCGAGTTCAACAAACGTCTTGTAATACATTATTTTCGAAGTGCTTCCCTGATCGATAAGGACGTGCTCTACTGTGAATTTGTTCACTCGTAACTCGACGACGAGGGGATCGGTGTGGGGGAGAGTTACTCCAGCTAAGT